CAGACATCATAAGGCCTTGAAACTTCAGTTTGTGATTCCCTTGTTATTGCTGCCGTTGACTTATTTTATTTATTTAGGTACCTTGGTCAGATGCTTGTTTTGTCATTTTCTCTTTTTTGTAAAATGGGGTATACTGTAAAAATCCTGCTTGATTGAGTACTGGAGTAAATTAATTATCAACAAATTTCCGTCCTACTGAATAGTATTTCTAATGATTACCTTCTATTTCTGGTTCGAAAGTAATAGATACCCTGCTGATCCAGAATAGAATTTAATTATCTTATTCACACAGCCCATTTCAATTCAAGTGCTCTTTGCATATGTAACATTTATTTGACAAAAGCTTAAATTTGTCAGGGCAATAGATTCTTCTTGTATTCAGAGTTCAGGAATTACAAGGGTTGTGTAGTTAATTGATTGGAAAATAGCAATCAGAGGATCTATTTCATTAAGGAAAATGTAATGCTTATACAGGTGTTTACACAGGAGTTGGAGGCATGGCTCGAGTGGTAAAACATGAGCCAATGAGCAAATTCATCAGATACCAAATTCTGGTCTCAGGTTTTTTTTTTAAGTGTTTTATGAAATTTTTAATGCTGGTAATCTAGGAAAGAAGGTATGATGATGATGATGATGATGATGGTGGTGGTGGTGGTGGTAGTGGTGGTGATGATGATAATAAAATACCTACTTTGGGTTATGAATTAATGATATATTATAATGCATGTGGAATGTTTAACACAAGGTAAGTATTCAGTAAATGTTTAATCATGTTAATTTCACACAAATTAAAATTTCCTTGCAACAGCCCTATAAGTTATATAAGTTAAATATAGTTATGTAAGTTAAATACTAGAAAACTAGTTTTCAAAGTGGTTAGTCCACAGTTAATCAACATGACCAAAGGCTGCCTCTGTCAGTGGAGGAGTCCCCCAGTTTCTATGGTGTTGCCTTCCCTTTTCCCTTTCCCCTGTGTAATGCGATCTCTCTACTTGGCTTATATGATCATGGTCCTTCACACTCTCAGGTAGACAAGTCCTCCTGTGAAAGGATTCAAAACCCACGTCAATGTCACACAGACATTTTCAGGGGGTGGGGAAATGGTGCCCTCATAATGATAGAGTCAAGTACAAATCTTTGGCAATGCTGGCAGAGAAATCCTAATAGATAAAGAAATTCCAGATGGTAAGCCTTAAACACTCTGGAAAAAAACACAAAGAATTTTAGTAGCAAGTCAACAAATCCACTAGCCAAGACACCTTTGTAGACCAAATGCCCACATTCTCAAATATACGTGGCTTTTAAATCTATATGTCTACCTGAGCTCTACCATAAAACATAAATTCATTTGTTGTCAACACTGAATTTGTTGTTATTTTAACATGCTGTATTTTTCTCAATGGATATTAAAAGTGCAAATTCTACCACACGTTGGGGCTGGAGGGGTCCTAAGATTTCATTTTGTTGTTGGTTTGTTTCATTGTGAGAGACAAGTCTGCACACTCCATAAGATTAGACATGGCAAATGGCCATTATCAAGTGCACAACAAAAGCTGGCAAGTATTCAGAGGAAAAAGAGGCTGCTACCTAATGCAACTTCAACAGGCAGTATGGAGCTAAAAATGGAACTATCATACAATCCACCAATACTACTCTTGTGCATTTTACAAGAATGTAAAACAGGGTACAATAGAGACATTTACTCTGCAGCACTACTCACAATGGCCAAACTATGGAACCAGCCTACAAATGATGAATAGATTAATAAAATGTGGTAGTTACATGCAATGGAGTATTATTTAGCTATAAAGAAGAATGAATTGAATCATTTGCAACTAAATGATGAGATTATATTAAGCAAAGTTAACCAGGTTTGGCAGGTCAAAGATCAAACGTTTTCAATCATATGGAAGCTGATCTACGTGAAAAACATGTGTATGTGTGTTTGCATGTGTATATGATCATATATACCTATAAATAGAGAACATACATGAAATAATGGGACTAGGAGAAGAAAACTGAATGATAGGAGATGAATAATATTGAAATACATTGCATCTATGCCTGCAAGAAACTCAGTGAAAGATGTTGAAAATAGGGAGAGTGAGGGATGGGGAAGGAGAAGGATGGAGCTAATCAGATTAAGCTATGCGTATGTGTAAAATACCATGGAGAAACTACTTTAAACAATTAACATACATGTAAAAAGAGAAAAAGAAATGACAGGAATGTAAAACAGGCCCTGTTTAGGAGTAGGTAGGAGTGGGAAGGGTGAAGAGGCAGGTGAAAGAGGGCAAATATGGTAGGAGTATTGTATATTCATATGCAAAAATAAAACAATGAAATCCATGGAAATTATTTTAAGAAGTGGGGTTAGATAAGCGAGAGTGATGGAGGGGTGAGTTTGATCTGGGTACATTGTATACCTATGTGGAAAAGCCAAACTGAAACTCACCTGTACATTTAATATATGCTCATAAAAATGTTTTTAGAAGGACAAGACATGGGTAATATTGAGAGAGCTCTCTGCTTGTGAAATCTAAGCATCTAGAGTTAACACGTGTCCTACTCACTATAAACTTGAACTATAAGCTCTCAGTTCAGGAAACTCAAAGAAAGTCAACAGATTTTTGCTAAGTGCCTTTTAACAGCCTGACCCGTTTTCTGGGGTTAAAGGGTAAGTAGGAGTCTTTTCAGCTATTCTTCCCTAAGCTGCTATTTTCTCACTTATAAAATAAGAAGGGTAAAAGTAGCTCTCCTCGCCAGACTGTGATCATCCAATGGGGAAAAAAATAGACAATAAACTCACTGTGATGCTTTTGAAAGTGCTTTGTAAACTCTAGAGCATTATAAACATATTGTGTTCAAGGGGACTCTGAGGAAGATAGTCCTCAAGTCTTCCTGGCACTTTACTTCTACTATTGACCACCCAATTCATGAGCTTATCAAAAGCTAACAGCATTAATATATATATACTGTTTGTATGTATATGGAGATTGAATTCAAGGCCTTGTGCTTGCTTGGCAAGCATTCTACCACTTGAGCCATGCCCCCAGTCCAGTTTTCTGCTTCCAGTTTTGTTTTTCCAATATGGTCTCATATTTCTGCCTGGGTTAGCCTTGGACCACCACCCTCCTATCTCTGACTCATGAGTAGATGGAATAACAGGTGTGTTCCGCCACTGCTTGGCTTGTGTTTCGAGACAATTTTGCTGCCTTTTGTCCAAGATGACCACAAACTAATCTTCCTATTTCCACATCCTGAATAGCTGGAATTACAGATGTGTACAACCATGCCTAGCCTTTCAGATTTTCAAGTGTATTTTTCCATCTCTTCCTTCCTCCTCTCATTTTGCTTAATATCTTTTTTATCCACTTATCTCCTTTTATTTCACAAATTGTAACATCCTTTAATATCAATACCAGAATCAAAACAGCAAATAACCTCAAGCATAAGAAATAAGGCACCAACATAAAATTCAAAGTAGAGAATAGCTCAAGAGCTAGCAGCTCTACTTGTACTGTAGAATTTCAAGAACACTAGAGACCCTGGTGGGGGTGGGGGCATTTTGAGTGTGGGTCACAATGGATGAGATCTCACCCGGGCCTACTAACAACAAGGATTAGGAAAGTAAACAAGAACACTGTCCCTCTTTTCTCCTCCTAAATTGAGGTCCCATGCTACTGTAGGTCTGAGGGAAAGTGGTTTATGGGTGGATTTTGCTGATTCTTTCATTGACACTCCTGGAATGGAAGCCCTCTCTGACTCAACATTGCTACCTCTTACCCATACAATAGTTAGGATATGCAATGACTGATGGCTCTGGTCTTCTACTGTTTGTCAACAGAGAACAAGCCCTTAGAGTCCATCATGAATCAGACAGCACACAAAGCATGATAGAGAAATGCAAGTCACATGGTGTGCATAATCCCTGCTTGACGGTTCAGAAAGATGTGAACCAGTACTTACTTCCAGGCAACAGGGTTATTTTCCATATTCTGACAATGGCACTTTAAGATATGCAATTTACAATGAGGCAGCTGAGATGCAAAGAAGTTAGATCTCAAGATCACGGGTAGCTAGGCCCTGGTGACTCACACCTATAATCTTAGCTACTCAGGAGGCTGAAATCTGAGGATGGAGCTTCAAAACCAGCCCAGGAAGAAAAGTCTGTGAGACTCTTATCTCCAGTTAATCACCAGAAAACTGGAAATGGTGCTGTGGTTCAGAGAGCTGGCCTTAAGCAAAAGAGCTCAAAGACAGCACCCAGGCCCTGAGTTTAAGCCCCACAGCTGACAAAAAAAAAAAAAAAAAAAAAAAGATGTTCAAGCCTGATATCTCCAAAGCTGTCTTATTTTAAAGGCCACCATCTTGTCCACTCTTCTTTGTTACCTATTTTAATTGGGAAGACAGGATATACACATGAAAATGTAAAATGAACACTGCCATTCAAGGAAACCTGAAAAGAAGTGAGCACCCGGAAGTCTACAGACTACACTAGGTGCAAAGGTGGCTGAGGGTCTGAGGTAGGAGGAGCTAAGCTGACCTCAGAGCAGATTCTGTTGCACAACAATAACACAGCCTCCGGGGAAGGGAAGGGACAAGCCAGTCCGAAACACTGTGCTGGAAGCTAGAAGCAAGGGAAGAACAAAAGCTACAATCCCAGCAAGCCAGTTGATCTTCTAGGCCCAGGGGCTTCATCATAAGGCCCTGGGATGTATTTTTTAAAAGACTGAAAACTCCATCGATTGCTGTCACTTTCACAGATGAATACAAGAGAGCAATCATTCATTTGCTGGAGAATTGCCAAGTGTATTGCCCTCAGCATTAATTAAACATCCCTTCCTATCTCTCGCTAAGTGAGGCGAAAGGGAGTTATTTTTCAAGCCACATGTGGTGTGGGTTCTGTGTGCATAACTGGTTATAAAGAGGATTTACAGAAGAAAAGTGAGTCCATGGTCAATGTCGTCAAGCATTTGTTTGGATTTTCTGTTTTCTAGGAGATGTACGACTAAGGGGTCAGACTGGGGTTCCTGCCGAACGCCGTGGCTCCTACCCATTCATTGACTTCCGCCTGCTTAACAGTGAGTAATCAAGTGAACCTAGGAAGGAACAAATGTTTCTCTTTTTGTAATATTCAAAAATGGAAAAAAGAAAAATTCTTATTTCCCCTTTCAACGTCAAAACCTCCTGAGGTCTGCCTTCCATCCTCCATGTCTGTCCCCATAACTGGAAGCGAAACCTTTGTCTTTTGATTTCCATCCTGGTAAAGTAATTCCAGAGACAAGCTAGGCCTTACCTCTCCAAGCTGCCAGGAGGCCAAATGAGAGGCCATAGATTCAAAATTGCAAAAGATGTATACAAGGAAGGTCATCTTTTCATTTTCCAGCATCTCGTCTCTACATGCCGCCCTATTTTATTGTTAGAACTTTACAAGAGATGTTATTTATGGTTACCATTTCTTTTTTTCTTTATTTTTTTTTGGTTGGTCGTGGTGCTTGAACTCAGGGCCACAATCTGCCATTTCTATACCCCCATTGTCTTATTCCCTCTTGTCTAACCTGAAGTATCCCATCTTCCTGGAGCCGGTGGGGCTCAAACCCACAATTGGCGAAAGGAGTCACCAACACTCAGTCAATAGGGCTAGGAATCATTTATTAGCCATGGCAACTGACTTCCACTATACCAAGACAGTGAAGACAAGCAGCTAACTACGTTGAATTTTCCCCTTATTTTTCTTGGTTCTAACATAACCCAAGACCTTGAGGTATATTCTTGCCTTCCTGATGAAATTCTTTTGCACCTGCAGCTTTCTCCTTGTATTACTTCTGAACAAACACACTGCTTTTCCCTTCTCCTTCCATTACTACTCATTTGAAATTTTGCTCACACTTGGATTCATCTTCTTTTTTCAATCTTAAGTTCCTTTGGAAACCCAAGCCAATGACCAGTCCTGTCTTCCAATTTCGTATCTTCTCTCCTTACCATCTTTCACCTTGAACTTGTGGTAGGCAGGGAGGGAGCAAATGGATAAATTTCACAATTCGCTGCAAGGTTTTCAGTGTTTGGTTCTCCTATCATACCCCATCTATCAATTTCAAAGTGCTGGACTGCATCCACATAGTATTACTTTCCTTTGACATAAACAAGCTCAGCTCAAGGGGTAATTTGATTTACCTCGACCTCTGGAAATTACTAGGAGAAATTAGAACTTGCTATTGCTGATCTTTAGGTCCTTCAAAGGTCAATGGCAGATGGGCATGTTTGTATTTTTCTTGGATCATTTTTCTTCTCCTATCAATGTGCATGTCTGATTTTTTTTTCTTTTTTAAAGCTTTTTCAGAGATACAGGGACTTGGAATAACTCTTTCTGTGCAACAGACAAATTACTCCTCTTACACTCCCTGTGATACTTTTTAGAATTCAGAACTGAGCCATTAGACATTAGACACATCCTGAGGGAGCCCCTCACCTCTCTCTAGGACCCCAAATAGGTTGTTTTTACTTCTTAATGGAAGTCACACCTTTGATTGTCTTAACTGCATGAATTTTAGATCCCAGGCAGTCTATCAAGCAGGGAAAAGATGAACAAATGTGTCCAGTTCACTATTTCCTGTAGGCCAGAACTTTCCAATGATATCACATTCTGAAAATCAGAAGTCTGTCAATAGTGGAAAAAGATGTTATTTCATGGTTTTCAACATAAGCCATATCTTTATTATCTCAAGGTTCTACATAATGATCTTTGCAGGTGTGACTAGGGAATGTTTAATTGTCTTCATCACAAGCATCTGGATGTAAAAATGCCTGTAGGTGGTTTTCTTTTAATGATAATTGCTTCTTTTATTCTTAATCTGACACAACTATAAATATATATATATATATTTATTTAAAGAGAAATTGTTTGCAAGAAATATTTCATTGACACAGCAGTCACTATATAAAAGATCACCTATGAGTACCTCCCATCCTGTCACCCTCCTGCTGAACAGATTTCTGAGAGCTCAGTTCTGCCCAGCTTCCTTTACCAGCCCTCTAGGCTCCATTCCATTCCTCCCCACCTGTGGTCTTGAGCCTTCATCACTGAGTGACAGTGTTTATCACCCACCCATGTGTCCCTGAGGAAAACACATTCACTCTTGTGCCTTTGCATATAACATACATGAAGGGGACATTCATTTACCTTCATTGTATTGTACTTTATATGTGGTCCCCACATGTTCCAAATGCATAAAACACATAATAAATAAGCTACAAGATGCCAAATGATCCCTTTATAATTCCTAGCCTCTTAGTAACTATATAGTTAACATACCAATTGCTTTGAAGAATCTCCTTTAACAGATTATGTTAACTAGATCTAAATGAAAATCATCCACTCCTCACCTTTAACTGAACATCACAAAAAGGACTGAACACCTCTGATCTTTCCCTTATTTATATTCCTTCCCATCCCTCTCTAAAATACCTATGTGTACCCTGTCTACTTAAAACTAAAACCCTACCATTATTATGATTGTCCTCCAGTTTCCTGACTTAGCAATTAAAGCAGTCGGTGATCATGTAGCACTAGGTATGTGGACATCTGTACACACTGTAGCAGTAGGGATGTAGACATAGTCACAGGAACTATCTCTGCATGGCACAGCTCCTGCTATTTCCTAAGTCTACCATCCACTAATTCTTTTTAATCTCATTCATGTTCGTGTTGAGGCTTGCTTGCATGTTAGTATGTTATTTCTGCCTAAAGGGAAGCATTTTGGAATATTTGGGGATTTTCTCCTAAAACTTTTATTTTTTAACCAACCAGTTCCAACTCAACATGATAAGCCTCAAACTAGCATAAAGCAACTCTTCATGTCATTCACTTTAATTCTGAGTCCATTTCTTCCACAGATGCTCATAGACCAAGGCTTCATTTTTTTCTTGTGTTTGCAGTTTGTACTCTCTCTAGGTAGAATCTGATCCACAATTTAAAAACTAAGATTTACAGGGGGAAAAAAAATCACTCTAGCGTCTATTCCTTAGCTGACCATTTGTACAGCCTTCCTTCTAAAATGCCTGGTCACGTCTACATAACTGCTCTTCACTATGCATAACACCCCTGGTTGTTCCCTCTCCACCACCCACTTCAGAACTGGCCTTAAAGCACTGGAATGGGTATAAGGAAAACTGGGCTAAATAGTAAGGCTCATTGTATTGCTCTATTGCTTCCTTTAGATATAGCCCCAATCTGTCACAACAGACAGGGGACAGCATGATTAATACCCAGAATAACTTACTGTCTCTCAGAGCGAGGTTTCTACATATTAGAACAGATCATGAAAGCCAGGCTCTGGTGGCTCACACCCTGTAATCCTAACAACTAAGGAGGCTGAGATCTGAGGATCCATATTCAAAGCCAGCACAAGTAGACAAATCTGAAAGACTTATTAACCAGGCAAATTAACCAGGCAAAAGCTGGAAAGTAAAGGAGTGGCTCAAGTACTAGAATACCACAAAAGCTAAGTGACATTATGAGACCCTGAGTTCAAGACCCAATACCAACACACACACACATACACACACACACACACACACACACACACACACACACCATATAACTAGAATACAAGTAGGCAAGTTATAGCCCATTTACCAAATCTGCCCCCACCCACCCCCTGCCAGATTTGGATCAAAAAGTTTATTGGAGAACACTGTTATACACATTTCTTTTCATGTCTGTCATCTAGGGCTACTTTCACAAAACCAAAGTATCTAATACATAGCCCTTCATTTGAAAAGCTTGCCAACCTCTGGCTTACAAGCTTCTGAAAAAAAAATAGAACTGTTTTATGACACTCAATCCAGTCCATTTCCCTTTGTTAATGGCTTTTTTCTTTTGAACTCCAAGTAACATTGCTTTATTTTCAAGAAGGTACTTAACACTGACCAAGCTTACAGAGTATGGAAATAGAAACAATATGAATCTCACTGTTCATCTAGATTTAAAATTCCAATTTGAAATTATAATTTCTAATTGCAGAAACAATCTTGTTCTAGGAGAGATGCATATATATACATTTATATAATATATATTATATAATTATATAATACCCAGGTTCCTGTTCTAAATATAAAATGGTTAAACACCTGACTTGTTTGGTACAGTCCTCGTTTGCACCTGTTGTCCAAGCATTCTTAATAATAAAACCATCTTTTACTCCCAGAGTATCCTGGTTACACAATAAATTATAGACCAACTGTTTATAAGATTTTCCCACAAAAGGTACTTTAAAACAATGCCTCTTAAAGACCACATACAATAAGTTCAAGAGATCTATGCATAGCATAGTGATTATAGTTAAGAAAAATGCATTATATACTTGAAAGTTCCTGAAAATACATTTGTTATATGTCTTACCACAAACAAATGAGTATGTGAGGTGATCATTTAGATTCAGTTAAGCATTCCACCACATATAGTTAATTCAAAATATCATCCTGTGTATCATAGATATATACAATTTTTATGGGTTAGTTAAAAAATATATAGAACATGTACCCCCAGGAATTAAGATTAAAACATCTTCCTCCAAGATTCTCAAAGCATGGAAATACACAAGACAAAATTACTTGATGAAAGCCAGTTTGAGTTTTTTGTTTGCATTTTACCCAGTGGAGAAGAAAGGCATTTTTGTGAATTTCTAGAAGCTTCTCTGCAGAAGTAGCAAGAAACTGTGGCTCTAACCCCATAAAACTTTAAAGAAGAGAGATGTCTTTGCACCCTAAGCTTGGCGGGGTAGAAAAGTATAGAAGAGAGAAGTAATTATATTTCAGTCCTGAAGAAGTACTAAAACAGACAAGTGGAGGAGGTCAGGAGCAATGGAAATATAACAGCTCTATTATCCTAGTGCCAGCTTCCTGTGGATGTATTTCATTTACCAGCTCTGTTGAGCAGGGGAAACAGGAGAGACTATGCTGATAAGAAATATGCTTAGATATAGCCAGGGAGGTGAGAATGGTGGAGGAATCGCAAACTTCAGAGAGCAGGCAGCTCTGTCTCCTGACTTAATATAATCAGTAGCCTGAGTAGATAATGACT